AGCGCTATGGTGCTGCCTGCTCCCACTGCTATTTCTATCAGAGTCAGCGGAGGGGGGGGGGAATAGGGAGGCTGCTGCTGTGGAGCAGCCCCTGTTCGCAGCCAGCTGGGTCACCGCAAACAGGGGCTGCTGGACCTAGGAGGCCCAGCTTGCATGGGACTGCTGCATCTCTGCATGCTAAATGCAGTAAGAGCCACTAGGCATTTAAAATGCAGAGGCACAGCGGTCCTGGAACAAGCCTTCCTCTTCTCGACTAATCGTGTAGGTGGTACAAATTGTATCGATTACATGATTAGCAAAGTACCTGTTCCTTCACATCCTTAATTCTAGATGGTCTGTGACACAAGCTCAGCCCCCTTCTTCCACTCACAGCAGGGAGCTCATGCTGGCGCTGCAGCCTCAGCCTCCCAGTGCTGCCTTCTCATTGTGTGTGTGTGGGGGGGGGGGGAAGCTCCTCCTCCCCGTCCCCTGGCTGGGGGAACAGCAGTGCCAGCATGCTGCCTGGAGGCTTTCCCCGCTGCTCCCATTGGCTAGTATCCAGTCAATGGGAGTAATGGAAGGTGGTGCCTGGGACCAGTGCAAGTAAGTTGCTCCCCTTCCTCATACCTAGACCCTCTGCATCTCCAGCTCCCTCACGCACACACGCTGCTGCAACCCTCTCATCCCCAGCATGCACCTGCCCTCTCCTCCTGGCCAGATACCATAGCCTCAGTCTGCTCCTGCCCCCTCCCTCCTGGCCAGACATTCTACTTCCACCCTGGTCCTGCACCCACCCTTTCTCCTGCACCCTTCCTCCTTGCCACACACTGCACCTTCCCTTGCTCTTATCCTCTTCCCTGGCTAGACACCTACTCCCAGCCTGCTACTGCAGCCCACTTCCCATCCACACGTCACACCACTCATACTGCCTGCACCCTACCTGCTGCCCAGATTCTGCACCCTCATTCCTCTTACTGGCAGTCCTGTCCCGCACACTGAACGCCCCATTTTTGTCCCAACCCCATAGCCTGGGGGGGTCCACAAAATCCACTAAACCTGGAATCCCAGAAGAGTAAATCTGGCCTATGGGGAGCCCTGAACTTTAGTCCTCCCTGTCTCTTCCCTTCCCCTGGTTGGGTTGAAGCACCAGAGGAGTAAAGCTGGGGGCCACATCAGTGAGGGTTGGTTTTTTTTTGGAGGGTTGTTGTTTTTGTTTTTTTGTTTGTTTTTTGCTCTGTGGTCTCCAACAGATTTTTCTGGGTCAGTGACCCCAACCCAAAAAAGGTTCCCCACCCCTGCCATAAATAAAGAGAACAAGGAAACCTTTTGTGTTGGATATAACTTAATATTTTACTTTATTTAAAATGAAGTTTTCTAAACTAACAAGCGAAAGTTAAAGTGCTTAGTCTGTTTAAATTAATATTTTCTTTCTTACTGGTTAAATAAAACCATTCTTTCCAGCTGCAGCCCTAGCAAAATGGCTTGGTGTAATTATGTAATTAATGGCTAGTTTCCATTAGCAGCTGATGGTTCATGGAAAGGTTTGTATTAGGAAAGGTTCATGGAAAGGTTTGAAGTAGGAATAAGAGCCTCCGGAAAAGGGCGCTTTTTCCGGAGGATCGGGGCCAGTCTAGACGCTCTTTTCCGGCTTTTTTAAAAGCCGGAAAAAAGCAGCGGACATTTTTATTTAAATGCCGCGGGGGATATTTAAATCCCCCGCGGATTTCCCTACGACGACTCGTGAAATTTACATGCCCCTTCCGGAAAAGGGGCCAGTGTAGACGTAGCCTTAGTGTTTATCCTCATGTCTTGGCATTTAAAAGACCAGTCTGGAAAAGGTTTTAAAATCCCAAGTATTTGAAACTGTTTGTCTATATGTCCTATGCAAACCTGCTAGAAAGATTCACTTTTTAATATACTCACAACTTCTAAAGAACCCAGACACGTACACAGTAGCTGGGAGGGGAATGGGAGATATCTCCTGGGTATCCTTCAGGCTTTTAGCAAAGCTTTTATGAAAGCTACACACTCAATACCAAAATGAGAGAGTGACATAAAAAATATTATATTATATCCAGGGCTTGGATATCTTTTCTTCCCTTAGGAAGTAGAGGTGAGCCCAAAGAAGGTTCTCCAAATGCCTTCCAATTTCAGATGGCTTGAATTCAGCTCCAACTGGGTTTCTGTGAGCTTCATTATGAATCACATGCAAGGTGAGTATTTTCTCATTTTTAAGTAGTCAAAAATCTTGCAACCACGGCACAGTGAAGTTACACTGAAGATTTAATTGGCTCAGTGGCAATATGAACCAGGAACAGAAAAGTAACAGTCTGTCTGATTAAACCAAATAACCCCATTGATCAAAAAAGTTAGGACACTCCATCAGACTTGAGATGCCTAGCACTGGCCACAGGAATAATTCAGCATGTTCTGGTTTCACTTGCAAATGCCTATGTTACAAGTATGGAAAACTAAAGCAGCAACTGGTTGGCCAAAGTTTCAGTAACTATCAGTCCCTGGTCTAAAGCACAGTGACTAAATTCTGAGCCATTTTACCAGGATCTATCACTGTGACCAAGAAAAAGGGAGGGAGATAAGGATTAATGTTTGAAGCCCCATCGTCCCAACTTTAAATGCTCTCTGTGGAATTATTCATGATGAAAAGATAGATATTATAGGTCTGGGCCTCCACCTTTTAAACTAGTGTAAATCATTTACACAGGCAGATTTAATAAGGGTTAACCAAGCTTGTAACAGCTTCCATCAAATGGATGTCTAGCAGTTTGCACATAAACTGACTGATGGATTGGTCCCTGCCCATTGCATCCTCCTCCCCTCTCATTCTATGCACTATCAATAAGTCCACTATTGCCATTAGAGGTCCAGCAGTTTGCGAACAAGAAGAGGATGAAGATCAAAGCCAAGTTGTCACCAAAAGAAATGCCCTGTGAAACAAGTTATATGTTGCACACACTGGCGCATGCTAGACTCCAGTGCAATTGTGGCTTAAACTGAAGCCAGCTGTGCACCTCACGTCACTGAGAAGAGTTGTCATTACGCAAAACCAGCCCACTGTTGTGGCTGTATTGCTTCATTCTGCTATTGCATGCGTGTGCAAAACATTATGTCTATCATCTCTTCCACTGTTTCCACATTTGAGGAAGTTGTCAAGTTAGAAAAATGCATAAGAAGTCACATTTGGCACGTGGAATCCTCCTTTACACTGGGGGATCTCAGAGCGCTTTGCAATTCTTATTAATGAAGCCTCATAATGCTGCCAGTGTGCGCCTGGGAAAGTTCTTTGCCCCAATTTCCTCAGGTCTACAATGGGAATAATGATACTTCACTGCAAAGTTCAGAATAGGGGCCTGGAGTCCTGCCTGCCAGTCCCCTTTTGTAGCTGCCAACCTGCTTTTCCATCTGAAAGTGGGCAGGATCTTGTATGCAAAAGTTCCATAGGAAGGACAGCACTGCCTCATGCTCAGCTTTGTGTGCCTTGGCTTACTAGAATGTCAAAACCTCCAGAAGGGCGAGGGCTGTCTTTTGCACAGGGGGAGGGCACGTGGAGCTGGCGGCAGCAGGACACACGTGCCTGGCCTGGCTACCGCCACTGGCGCGCAGCCCAGGGCCGCCCGGGGTGGGCCGAGGCTGGCCTGAGGGCACTGCTGGCTGGCGCTGTGGGGGTTAATGCAGTCCCCACCCCGGGTGGCCGCTGCAGGGTGGCTGCTGGGAACTGCTGCAGCTCGCGATCCGGGAGCCAGGCGCGGCACCCAATGGCAGCTATCAAGCTGCTTCCCAGCTAGCTCATGCCTTAATCCGGCCCTGCCTGGAACCAGAAAGCATGCTCCAGCAATTGCCCCTCCACTGTAGAATGAGGTCAACTCTTGCTGGGGATTCCTGCCAGTCTCTGCAGCCTTTGGGTATATCTATACTGCTTTAACACTACCCCTGGTGGCTCCATGTCAGCTGACTTGCGCTGCGGGGATACACAAACATAGTGTAGATGTCCTGTGAGCAATGGGGCTGACAACATCGTTGGACCCCATGGCAAGTCAGGGGAACCTGGCTCTATGCCCCAGAAGGGGCAGGGCCTCAGGTAGAAGGGGCGGGGCTGGGTCTAGGCAGCCTTCGGTGTTGCCGTGAGAGAGCTGGGCCTCCCCCAGGCAGCCTTCAGTGCTGTCCGGAGCACACCTCGTGGCACTCTGGCAGCGATTTAAAGGGCCTGGGGCTCCACCCACTGCAGTAGTGGCAGTAGAAGCCGGGAGCTCTGGGCCCTTTGGTATCACCAGGCTCTGAGGCAGTTGCCCCCATTGCCTTCCCATCAGTGGGCCTGCCTGCGAGGGGAGGAGGGCCCCAGATTGCCTACACTACAGTGTTACAGCCCCGCAGCCCTAGCCTGACATGGGTCAGTTGCAGGTGATTTTTGTTGCAGTGTAGACATACCCTTTGTACAAGTCCCACACACACTGCTCACCTCTATTCCATCCCTCCTATTGCATGGTGAAGGCTGGACTGGCCTCATGAAAGTTATCGGGGAGCCCACGTTCTGCCAGACAAATAACGACTTTCGTTTTAAAAGTCAGCATCACCTTGGAAACCACATTTGCTTGAGAACGCTCTGGCTACTGTTACCAGCAGTCCCCGAGATCTCTCATTCTGTTTCTTTACTTCGTGCATTTGAGAGCTCCTTGGCTACGTCTAGACTGGCATGATTTTCCGGAAATGCTTTTAACGGAAAAGTTTTCCGTTAAAAGCATTTTCGGAAAAGAGTGTCTAGATTGGCACGGACGGTTTTCCGCAAAAACACTTTTTGAGGAAAAGCATCCATGGCCAATCTTGACGTGCTTTTGCACAAAAAAGCCCCAATTGCCATTTTCGCCATTGGGGTGCAAAAGTTTTGCGCAAAAGGGACTTTTGCCCGAATGGGAGCAGCATAGTATTTCCACAAAAAGCACTGATTTCTTACAGTAGGAAGTCAGTGCTTTTGTGGAAATTCAAGCGGCCAGTGTAGACAGCTGCCAAGTTTTTCCAGAAAAGCGGCTGATTTTCCGGAAAAACTGGCCAGTCTAGACACAGCCCTTGAGTATATTCACTCCTATGAGGCAGGGAGGGCAACTGAGCATCCTCCCCGCAATGCAACTGCTCTGCCTGAGGGTGGATTTCAGCTCTCTGCAGCCACAAAGCTGAAACACTGGAAGCTGTAGCCAGAGAAGTAGGCAGAGAGGATGAGCAGCAAACACAGTTGGCCATGTTATTCTCAGGCCCATCCATGTTTCTCCCCTGGCAAAAGACTCTAAGATTCTGTCTACACTGAGATTTTTACACTGATGTTGCTCCACAACGCAATCTCCCAGAGCATATCAGCTGTAATAGTGTAAAGTCAGTGCAAATATGAGTAAGACTGGGATTTTTCAGCTTAGAAAATGTGAGATGACCAAGGGGGGAGATGATAGTTTATAAAATCATGATTGATGGAGAAAGTAAGGAAGGAAGTGCTTTGTACTTCTCATAACACAAGAACTAGGGGTCACCAAATGAACTGATTGGGCAGCAGTTTTCAAACAAACAAAAGGAAGTATTTCTTCATAGAATGAAGAAGGCTTGTGGAACTCTTTGACAGAGAACGTTGTGAAGGACAAAGGTTAATGGGGTTCAAAAAAGAATTGAGTAAGTTCATAGAGAATAGGTCCATCAATGACTATTAGCCAGCATGAATTATGCTGTAATAATTGAATAAGTTGAAGGAATAAGTTGAGGTGGGCCTGAGATAATAGGAAAAGGAACATTAGGTGTTAGGCAGAAAGTAATTGAGATAACCAGGGAGATATGGACAGGAGATTGCTGTGTGCTTGATGTGGAAATGAAGATACTTGACTAGTCTCATACTAATCATGTGAAGTTTTGCCACCTTTTAATATTGTTAAGTTGGCTTTCTTTTGACTGTATAAATCTAAGGGGTTTGAGCCTTGCACGGTACTCACATTTTCTGGGTGCATTTAGCAGAGCAGCTTTGCTAATAAACAGAGCAGTCTGACAACTCTGAGTGAGTCCTGTCTGACTTTGACACCAGGATGGGCAGGGGTGCAAAATTATGCTCTGAAGTGTCCCTAACCTCTGTTTGCCAAAAGCTGGAAATAAGTGACAGGCCATGGATCGCTTGATGACCTGTTCTTTTCTTTCCCTCTGCGGTACTGGCATTGGCCCTGTCAGAAGACAGAATGCTGGGCTAAATGAAACATTGGTGTGACCCAGGAGACCATTCTTTTATTTTGATGATCATGTAACTAATATTCTTTTCAGAATATGCGGGAGACCTAAAGCCTAAACCAAATGTTTACAAACAAGCTAGAAGTCTCACATTCCAGAATAATAAAGGGAACAGAAAGCAGCAACATTCATACCAAAGTAACAATGATTGTTGTGATACAGATCTGCAGGGATGCAGATGAATCAAGTAATTAGTTTCTTTAAAGTATAAAGAATATTTTAAAAAAATATATGAAGCTGTTTAAAGAGTGCTGTACCAAAAACCTGATTTTTAAAATTAGATAATTAAAGGGACTCTATCAGTTTGGATTTTTAACATCCCTCAAAACTTACTTATGACCCTCCACACAGTTCTTATATTCTTCTCTCTCTCTCTCTCTCTCTCTCTCACACACACACACACACACACTACTAATGCCTTGACTCATTTTCCTCTAAGCCATTCTTTTCAGTCTGTAAAAGAAAAAATAAATCAACAAATGTCAAAGTTCACAAATGTGTTTTATTTGTATTGCACTTGTGAATATTACACACAACTCCCTTTTTACTGGGGGCCAAAGACACAGGCCCACTTTTGTAAGTGTACAGATCTATTGTACAAAGTATAAAGATGTAACTGCATTGCAGAAGTTGTATCTTTCCAGCAAAAGCACTTATAAACATTAGCAATTAAAGCTTACTGCAAGCTGTATCCTTATATTGAGATTTCAGTACAGTTTTGTGTCCAACTCTCCTTAACCAATTTTTCTTTCTGTGCTCTAGTTTTGATCGAAACAAGAGAGGACTATGCAGCACTTTAAAGACTAACAAGATGGTTTATTAGATGATGAGCTTTCGTGGGCCAGACCCACTTCCTCAGATCAACTTGATCTGAGGAAGTGGGTCTGGCCCACGAAAGCTCATCATCTAATAAGCCATCTTGTTAGTCTTTAAAGTGCTGCATAGTCCTGTCTTTTGTTTCAGCTAGACCAGACTAACATGGCTGCATCTCTATCACTAGTTTTGACCATGAGTCTGATCTGCTTTAAAGGGGGCTTCTTTGGCTACTTCTTTTAAATGTTTTAATTTAAAATTAGACATTGAAATTGACTCCCAGATTTTATTCCCCTTCTTTTTCATTTGTTTTTTAATGTGCAGTTTGTTTGTTTTTAATGAAGTAACTATTTAATGGCCCTCCCAGGGGATACTGAGAAGTCAATGGGCACGGAAGATGTTCAAGCACCTTGCAGGACAAGCCTGGGGAATCCATTCATATCATCTCTGTTGATAAAGGCGCAGTGCATGCTGATGCAAGATTTAAAGGGGCAGAACAGGATAAAGGATCTCTAAGGAACAGCAGAATGGGGAAGCCAACTCATCCCCAGACTATAAAGTAAATGAATAATTTCACTGGCAATTGTAACACTCCATTTATTAAACAAGCTGTGTTAATGGCACAGTACAGAGCAGCACATGGTCAGTGGTGAATGGCACTTAGTCCCTTATAGGCTCAGGCCTGTTTGGTTTTCTCCTAGTGGAGCCATAGACTGTAACTGTTCTCTGTTTGCTATAAAAAGTGGATTTAAAATGGCAGGTATTATCAAATATACTGAATAAAGGAATATATTGCATGAAGACGCACCATTCATGGCACTTCTTGTGAATGCAGAACAGCTCAGCTTTGCTTGGCAATTCTCTCCCCACCACATTAAAAGGAGGCACTCTCATACCACAAATCAACAATTAAGCAATTGTAATAGAAGGTATCCAGCCTCTTGGAATACTAACTCTGAAATTTATGACTGTTTATAACCACCCTCTCCCAATGCTTTTAGAAAGACCTTCCCCCAAGCAACTTGTTAACAGGTAGTGATTACAGGGTTATAAAAATACTTCACAGTTGATATGGCATTACCATTAAAATATCAGATAGCTGTGAGACAGCTGCCAGAGAGATAGCACAAGAACAAAGGTGAGAAGTGTAAATAACCCAGAAAGAACAAGTAGTCTGATTCATGTATCCAGCACGGGTGTTGAGAGACTGAATTAAGAGCAGCATTTGTCCAGCACTGAACTCAGAAACCAGAGGCTGAGGACAATGAGAAGTAGAAAACAACCCTAGTTATTTTGGCAAGAAGTTGGAGGTAAACCCAACAACATAGTGATTGGCAGGTTCACATTACCTCAGAGGGCAGGAGCACACATAAAATGACCTGAAACCAGACAATTCCCCTGCCCCGCTTCACAGTCTCTCTACCATGGCAGCATAAAACTCCTTCAGAAACAACCAGGGAGGTGTTGGATTTGCTACTGCACAGTGGAATTTGCTACTCGTTCAACCAGCATTAGTTCTGGAGCGGATGTGCCTTTGGAGATCCAGAGAAGCTGCTCTCTTGTTCCCTCTCTCCCTGGCTGCTCCCTCAGAATTGAAGAGTGCTCCAGTTCCCCGTGTAGAAAGCTGCAGGTATGCTGCTCTCCCCTATGTGCAGGTTTGGCTTCTAATGGGGCATGCTGTGTTAGGTTTATGCAGAATATTCCTTCTTGACTATAGTCTGACCACTTCAGTAATTTAGCTGCTGCCTTCACTGTAGCTCTGCACTCAGCATTAAGCCGAAGAAAATAGTTTCTGAGGGTGGATGACCTCAAAGTGCACTATGAGTGTCCAGTAAAGAGCTGTGCACCTAGGCTATGTCTACATTGGCATGATTTTGCGCAAGAACTCTTTTGCAGAAGAGTTCTTGTGCAAAAACTCTTCCAGAAGAGAGTGTCTACATTGGCATGTGCCTTTGCGCAAGAGATGTGCTTTTGCGCAAGAACATCTTTGCCAGTGTAGATGCTCTCTTGTGCAAGAAAGTTCTGATGGCCATTTTAACCATAGGGCTTTCTTGCGCAAGTAATTCATGTTGCCTATCTACACTGGCCTCTTGCGCAAGAACAGTTGCACAAGAGGGCTTATTCCTGAGCGGTGGCATCATAGTTCTTGTGCAAGAAGCCCTGATTATATACATTAGAACGTCAGTGTTCTTGCACAACTACTCACGGCCAGTGTAGAGAGGCAGCAAGTTTGGCGCAAGATTGCACCAATGTAGACACAGCCCTAGTGAACAGCCAAAGCTAGAAGTAAAGAGCAGATGAGCACAATCTCAGATTGATACAAGGTTCAAAGTCTGGCTCATTGAAGGCAATGGCAAAGCTCCCATTAGCAGCAATGGGGCTCGAATACTCTCATAGGCTCCTAGTGGTGCCCGGGTCTGTGGACTACTTCCACAGCTGGACCCGAGAACACCAAAAGGACGGAGAACATGCCAACAGAGAAGACACAGAATATGTTACTATATAAATAACACTGAATACAGGCTGAAGTTATGGGACCTGGGCTTAGCTCAGTTATTTCCTCTAAATACTTTGAGCCTAGGGATCTATGACACTTCTGGATGTGTCTGAGAGTTGGCTAGTCAAATTTGCCTGACACAGTAATGCTGGAGAACATGTTTTCAGGGGCAGAAATGACATCAAAGATACAGTTGCTCACTGATTCAATATGAGGCCTCAGAACAGCCCTGTCTATGTGCTTCTTGCCAAACCTGTTGGATCTCTTCTTCATACTTTTGTGTTCAAGTTCGGCATCTCCGTATGTAATCAATGTCCAGTGCAATATGAGATGAGTAACCCAAAATCCTTAAAAAGAGGTTTGTCTGCTGTAAGCAATTACACTTCTGTCTCCAAATGGTTAGCAATTGCCACTCAGGAGAACTATACTGGAGATGAGAGTAACACGTTTCTGAGTTTTTTCAGTTTACATTTGGCAGCAGTGTGTGTGCAAGCCACTCCCGCATTCCTCTTCTCTCCAGGTGGGTCTTTCACATACCAACACAGAAATGAAATATTTTTTTCAAAATAGGCAATTTTTTCCCCCCAAACAGGAAGCTGGCAGAGGTACTGCAGAGAAGATAAAGCTTCTGTAACTACTTTTAACTAGTTTTTGAAACTGGCTAGACTTCAAAATTAATGCTTTTTTCTTTAAAGGTGATTGTAAAAGTGTGTTTGCAATATTCTCTCACTAGTACCAAAATGGCAGATATTATTTATGGTGTCTCTCCTCCAAAGCTTCTTGGGACTTCAATACTCCCAAAGACTAGGACAGTTTAAATGTTCTTTTTATTTTTCTTGAGATGCATGGTTTTCAGTATCACTTAGGCTATGGCTACACTGTAGCCTTCTTCCTTAAAAGCTTAAGCAAATGAAGCATGGCGATATTGCATGTTGCGCTTAATTTTCATAAGCTTTTCTGGGAGAAGGCTACAGTGTAGCCGTAGCCTTAGTATTAGAAGCTTCAATAGCTGCTTGAGAGCAATGTGCTAGCAAGTACTATGTTGTGGTCATCCCATAACCATATTACGTAGCCGGAACTGGTTCACTGAAGCTACGTCTACACCACGAGCCTCTTGCGGAAGAACAAATGCAAATGGAGCGCTCATTTGCATTTCCTCTTCTGCAAGAGGCTCATAGTGTAGATGTAGCCTAAGAGAGACATTAGGTGCCTTTACAAAGATGAATACAGTGACTCTTATTAACAACCATCACAGAGACCCCAGCTTTCTGATCATTATAACAAGTGGTTGTTTATACCTTTTAATAACATCATGTCAGATCATCATTAAACAGAAGAGGTTTGTGCTTTTTGTAATTCTTTATAACATAGAAAGAAGGCCTGAAATGATTCCCTTTTGCTCTCTCCACAAAATATATTTATTCCTCCTTGTTTTTCATCTTAGAAATATCAGGAATGTCAAGCCTGCTTTTTTTTGGTTTTCTTGGAGATCAGAAATATAGGTTGAGAGTGCTTAACTCTTCAATGAAGGAGCTTGAGTCTTTAACAGAGAGAGGTTTTTTTTCCCCCAGGGTTTCTCACAGGTTTACGTTAAACAGATGTCAACAAAAACAAATAAAACAACAATAAGAATACCGTATCCGCCCATTATGGTTTCACTTGCCATGTAAGCCTAGTGTCATAATCATACCAGTTCTCCAGTGAGCCTAAAGTGTCTTCTGAGAAAAAACATAGTAGGCTAGATGTGAATTTCTGTGGGGGAATTTTCAAACATGCTCAACACTGCTGCATTTAACTCTCTTTACAATTCTACTTCAAAGAAAACAATCAGAAAAAAAAATTTCAAGCAAAAAAACACCTGGAAAAACCTTTTCGGCTATCTTGCATATTATAAAGAATTAAAGAGGGCACAAACCCATATTCCCCCTCCTCAGGTCATATTTAATACAATGCAACAGTGCTACCAAAAGTCTAATGGGCAGTTTTCACTTGTACATGTTTTCTAATTCATTTTCAGTTCTGCAAAGAAAAATGGTCTAATAAACTGTAACTCTCTAAAGATACTTTGAAAGTGAAATGTTATGAGCTAAACTGTTCATTTGAAAAACACAGTTCCAAGTTTGGATGCATTGACCTTTCTGGCCACCTCAGCAGGCTTACTGGCAGTACAACATACAGAGCAAAGCAACTTTCCAAACAGGCAGATCTGCATTAACGGCAGTAGAAGTTAACAGACAGGAAGGAAGGAATTTCACAAGGAATGAGATCTGAAAACTGTTAACACAGGGGACAGTAAAAAGCAGCAAGTACAGATTTCACTATATTTTATAGGATAATTGTAATACGTTTAATATTTTGAAATTTTTTGCAACAATACTATAAAACTAAATCATTGAACTCACCTTGTGTTCCAGAGGGTTTTCCTTGGTTGGTAACATATAACCCACATAGCTTATATGCTAGGGTAGCACATTGAAACAGGAATTAGAAATATAAACACAGCAGAATATTGGGGAAATATCCTCATGGCCTGGGTGGGAGAGGAGGGAAAATCTCATAGGGTATGTCTTCACTAGCCTCCTAGTTCGAACTAGGGAGGCTAATGAGGGCGACCGAAATTGCAAATGAAGCGTGGGGTTTAAATATCCCGCGCTTTATTAGCATGTTCCCGGGCGGTCACCATTTTGGAAATTGACTAGCCTTGAAGAACTGCCCGCATCTACACGCGGCAGAGAAGGGCGATTCCGAAATAAACCCCTTACTTCGAATTAACAGTTAAACCTCATGGAAGCCTGGCATGCTCCAGCAATGCTGCGTGGCAGAGGCAGGAAGCCCAATGCATCTCAGCTGGGCTGCCCAGCAGGGCCTTAAAGCTCAGTGGGGCTGGCAGGACTGGAGATGGGGGAGGGAGGAGCCAGCTGAGTGGCCCAGCTGAGTGGCCCAGCTGAGTAGCAGGGAGTCCAGAAATGACTTTCCCTGGTCTGGCAAAATCCTTCATTTGGGACTGATCAGGTCCGAGGTTGCTAGATCAGGGAGATCCAATCTATAGTTAGACAGTAAGCTCTTCAGAGCAGGGACCATGTCCTCCTTTTATGGGTGCACAGTGCCTAGCGCAATAAGGCGCTGGCTGATGTCAGAGGCCTCTAAATGCTCTCAAAGCACAAATAAAAATTAAAAATTAAAAAATAATTACATGAAAACAACAAGGTAATCTGGAGTGACTCTACTGATAACAACAGAAATACTCCTGGTTTGTTCTACTGCAGCTGAAACCAGAATATATCAGTATATTGCTTTCAACTAGCCCACACAGATGACAGTCTGTCTCCATCAGCATAACAGTGAGTTATTGTTTAAGCCACTGTAAACTTAACATGATGGTTCTTATTTCAATTACGCAATACAAGAAACGAGATGGAAAACTTGCTTGGCAAATGAACAGTCATACTGAAGTGGGGGGGAGGGGATATTCCTTACAAAGAATGTCTGACATACCCCTCCAGGAAGATAACATAGATACAAGATTTGTTTCCAGTGACTAGATTGTGCCCCAGCTCCACATGAGTAAAAGAAGAGAAATGGAGCCACAAGGGGACCAGGATACCAGTTGTTCTCTTCTTGCAAAGGAGAAAATCCAGTTTCAACAGCACTCTGAGCACTGTGCATTTTCTTGAAAGCAGACAGAGTGGTGTTATTTGATTCCATGATGAGTGCATTAAGATCTGGCTATGTCCCACAAAGAAGCTAACATGGTAGCAGAGCACTTTGTTAGTAATAAACAAGCTCTATGAAGGTCAACTGGAGACAAGCTGGTGATTCAGAAAAGGACTGAAATAAAGGGTCCTCATTTAAAAAAATACTATGATATTCTACAGTAATGACCAGAGAACTTCCACATACAGTAGAGACACTGTAGAGCTTTGGGTTATGGCCATAAAATAATTTATGTATATTTGTATGAGATGGTGTAAGAAATGGGGAAACAGGGGAGTACTTCAACACCTCCCTCATCATGACCTTGTTACTTTCTAGGTTCATTTACAAAATAACAGGGCTTATCAAATGTAATGTACAGGTGCTTCACATATATATAAATATTGATATTTTACCTTGAATATTATATTTTATATAAATCCTACTTTACTTTAAAAAAATCTTCAGATCAGGTTTTCCATTTCTTTTACATTTTCCTTCAAAGAGTACATAACTATATATTTGTTATGTCAAAATTTATGAGTCCCTCTCCTCTCTTCTGTTATGCTTTCTGCAGACAAGGTCTGAAACTATGTTAGCAAGAAACAAAACAATAGCTTCCACTTGATAACTTAGATAATATAGGAATTCAAAGGAAACCGTTTTCTGTTTTCAGGTTTCAACACTGATTAAAAAATTATAATAATCCTTTGTAAATCAGGGTCCATAGATAATATAAAGCAGCCTTTATAAGCAAATCTACACAATTGGACATGCTTTCAAGAGGCAGTTAGTACTTGTATCAAAATTCAAGAGCATTTCTACAGAATCATACGACTTCCTGCGATGCAGAGATATGTTAATTTCAGTTCTAAGAATTCACAGTTCTTTTTCTATAAGTGGCCTCATCAAATCCCCAGGATTCATTTCACAAACCTGCTATTCAATTGCTGATGCTGTTAACCACACGGTTGATTATGATGTGCACACAATCTGGTGACATCATCACATGGAAGATCAAAAATAGGAAAAATACCCTCCCTCCAATCTTTAAACAGTTTTTTATCTCTCTATTGTATATATATGTATGTGCATGTTTCATTTCACCCAGTGTGATTACATAATGAACAATTTTTGTGCTGGTTAAGGGTCTTCTTCCATCAATGGAATTTCTAGAAAAAAAAAAAAAGAGAATTATTGGCCTTAGCTAGTAGACTGCTTGGGTGCCTGAAGAGTGTCATCTCATATGTACCAGTTGATGCTATACAAATAGCTTGTGCATAAGTTTATGATGAAAGGTTGTACTTGTGAGCAAAATATACAATATTATCCCCAGTCTAGTCCCTCCTTAACACCTGCTTCTGTTGTGATGCCAGTATGGAATCAGACAACTAAAACCTGCATTCGCTCCAAAATAAACAAGGAAAAATTCTCTAAGGGGCTTTGTTGCCACTGTGTGAGTTGGGAATGAAGATTCTTCCCTGTTTCACTCCTGGAGAGTCAATCCCCTTGCCACAAATGTGGCTCAGGATTGGCCTGGCAGGGTAGAGGAGATGAAACCCTAAAAGCACCGAAAAATTTATTTTGAAGAAAGCATAAAGAATAACACATATGTTGCAAATAATTCTTACTTAATTCTTACTCTGAAGCACAAGAACACAGATTGTATGTATGGTTTATTACCTCTGACACACATCCCATGTAACTTATCCAAACAGATCTTACCATCTGCAATATCGATACTTGGGCTAGTAGATGCAGCCTCCCCAGTGGTGCTATTGATCACCTCAGTTCTATCTGAAACAGGATGCACGCCCATTTGGCACACAGAAGATGAATATAAACTTTGGAGAAGTTCAGAAGAGCCTGATATACTCTCACAACTCTCAAATTCAGCAGGTAATGTGTCTGTATCTCCTGGGCCGGGATAAGCTGGAGGGTTCTGATCTTCTATCTGCAAAACATGCCCCAGGCCTGCAGGAGATGAGTATCCTGGCGCCAAGGCATTCAAACCACTGCTCACAGCTTCATCATAGGAAGGCAGCATGACAGGAACACCATCCACTACCACGAAGTCGGGGTCACTGGTGGAACTCTCTTGGACGGCTCTACATCAAACAAAGACAGATTATCATGGAGTCTTTGAACATTTCAATAGCATCTTGAAGCAACCACCAAACTTCTCTCAGTATAATATTTTCTAATCACATAAATAGAGCTATACATTGTTCTTAATGTTCACAGGAATATCCTTTCCCAGATCTGCAGAAATCAGCTCAGGCCAATAGCTGTGTGCAATTTGGTTTAAGGAGATAAACAAAGCCAGTAACCTGAGGCATCATTCAGAGAAGGAAAGGACATCTGTGTGTTGGAGATAAGGAACATTTTCTATTGTCCCATGCACAGTAAATATCAGGGATATAAACTCGGGGTGGATCCATAAGTGTAGAGAGGTCAACATGGGAGCTAAAGGAGTATGGGCACATGCAGGACATGTAAATCTACTGATCTGATAATTGCCGGATGATGCAAGCTTTGGGGTTGAGTTTTTTAGCTCATTTCACCCTCAGTTTGGAAGGATGCACTTCCCTGTTCCTCCCACAACCACTAAGAGGATATTTTCAAGAAAACTACTTTTTTTTCAGTCTGTAAAATTGTGGATCTTTTACTCTCAAAAATTTAAATTAGATTACATTGGAGTCCCACCGGTATGCCATGTGTTTTTAGGGTATATGGGAACATCTGAAAAAAAGAAGAGGAAGACAGAAGTCTATTTCAGCAAGTCAGAGGAGCAAGACCAGGATATCTGTCATTGGTATAGTGCTGCCTCTTAAATCTAGAGGTCTTCCCTCTTGTGTACATATTAATTAGGTGATCTAGTCCATCAACATACACTGGTACAGCGACAGATTATCTGACTTAATATAGCTTTCCTACCTCTCATCCACATCCACACCCCCACCCACACAGAGGTCTTGGTCCAAGAATATGACTGAACCTAGCTATGACACTACCTCTGTTATATAGCTATATTTAGTCAACCTACAAACCTCAGCTTTCTTATTTGTAAAAGAAGGTTAATATTTACCTCCCTGTCTTGCAGGGACTAGCATAAGCATTATTGGCAGATAGCTGATATCTGTACAGTGCTTTAGGCAAAGAACAGGAAGAGGATATGAGAGAGAAAGAGCCACAAAGAGAGAGAGATTATGAATATTCAGGAGGGGTTTTAAGAGAAGCGTCACTGAAGGTTTTTTTTTTTCAATTTCCATTGAGGAAAAAATAGTTTTTGAAGTTTATGCTACTCTACTAAGCCTAAAATATTTTAAAGAACCTACTCCTAAACCCCCAAATTGATATATTAAAATACGTTGCTTCTCCCTGTAAATATATTTGATCAAAGACAAAACTCTCAGTATCAATGTAGCAATTAGTATAATCACACCTAAAGCCAATTTGGCAATTTTTTCTTTTTCTCTTTGCCCTAAAAGAGGCCAGAAGTACTATGGAATTGCAGGGGTTCTCAACTCTATGGGTTGCCTAGATTTGTCCCCATTCCCTCTGTTGTTTATTGTTCAATGCGAGAAAATAAGATAGTTGGAATCTCATTTTATTTCCTCTCCAAAGGGCATTCAGTGAAATAGCTAAATTAAAGCCTTCAATGTCCAAAGAGCAAAAGAGTACAAACCTTGGAAGGAAATGCGTCTTAAATTTGGTCTGGAACATCCTGGCTAGAATAACCAACAGAAGTACCAGTAGAACACTGGTAGCAGTAAATGCCACAATTTTCCAAGTCGTCAGGAGGGTTTCCTGTGTATTTGGCCAGGTTTGCTCTGTAGCAAAAATGCAATAAAACAGCTGTATTAGATTATAACTGTTTCATATTTGTATTGCAGTAGTGCCAGTCAGGATCAGGGCACTTGGTTTTGTACAAATACATAGACAATATCCTTATTCTTAAGGTACACTGTCATAAATTTTAAAAAATAGTATAGAAAAAACTGAAAAAATCTAGTGATGTGTTTTATCAGGATTTATTTGCAAACAAAATAAAGAAGATTTAGCAAATATTTAACAAGGCACATTTTAGCATCTATGGAGATAGCTGCTGAAAATTCAAGATCATAAAAGCAGAAATAAACTACATGTTACTAATGTTTCAAGATGACTCTGTAAAATTTAAAACGTGACAGAACTGTAGTTCAGCAGATCATGTCAGCCTGTGATCATACCAGCAAAATAAAGGGTTAACGCCTGCAGACGTTGTGACCTTAGTGCTATTTTTACCTGTTTTGACACAGTATACTTGATCTGAAGGGAACCACTCTCCTTTTTGGCAAGTGATGTATTTGTAGTCATTGGTAAGAGTGTAACCAGGATCACAATAGAATTCAACCACAGTTCCATGGTTATAACGCTCACAAGGCCGCGGATGGCAAATATAATCTCCATGAATCACCATTGGAGGTAGTGGACAAACTTGTGCAAAAGGAAAAAAAGAAAGTCAACAACAACAGCAACCACTTCATACAGATTATCCCCAGTATATGGATTTTGTGTGACACTAGACACGGGACCAAATACTGCCTTCCTTTATAACTGAAACCCAAACCATATTAATGCTTCTGGGAGCCTGAATTCTGACCACAAATGACCATTATCAGATATGTCTGATGCAGTGTGGGGGAAGTAAGGTGGGGTCCATAGTTAAGTCAGAAATCCACATGGCAGAAATGTGCAGACCCCACTTCAAGATCTCCACAGAACTCAGTGGTCTTTTTCATGAAGATGTCTCTTTTGGGCACCAGGGTGTTAAAAGAATGAGGAGAGAAAATTACCACTCTATCATATCACTCTATCCTGGGGTTTTCTGACAAGAACCTTTACTAAGCAGCTGAAATTGAGTTGTAAGGTCCCGTTAATACATATATAATTAACATTATAAAAAAGCTACAAATAATAATTCCATTATCAAACAGCTCATGTTATGAAACCAACTGTTCTATGCTGTGATAGGTACAGTACAGATGATGTTGCTAAAACAAAGTCCCTAAAATTAATTATTTTAAAGCCAGTGTCAGAGTCTGAAATCAAGGACCTGCTTGCAAAGTGAGTTGCTATTTGACTTGAGTGAGGATATCAATCGGCCTGCTTGGGAAGTAAGGGTATGCCTACACAGAAAAGTTATTTTGAAATAACTTTACTAGCGTCTACACAGCCAAACCGCTATTTCAAAATTAATTCAAAATAGCGGAGCGCTTATTTCAAATTGGTAAATCTCATTCCACAAGGAATAACGCCAAATTCAAAATAGCTATTTTGAAATAAGTGTGGTGCTGACACTTATTTCGAAATAGGGGGCCTTCAGCCTTCCCAGGGTGCTCTGGTGGCCACTCCAGCCTCAACCAAGAACACTCATCTCCCTCCCCACTTCCTGGAGCCCTTAAAGGGGTTGACTCTGGCCACAATGCCTGTGCCAGCTAAAAGCCTGCCAGCCCAGAGCCAGCAGTCACTGCACCTGACCCAGTGGCCCCAAAACCTCAAAACAGGGGCCAGAAAGGCCACTGGCAGCCAGCCTTCCACGGCTCCCCAGGAGCCTGCCAAGGCCTGGAGAAGGCGGACGCCTTCCTGTCCCAGCCACTTCCTCCACCTCCCTTGCTTCTGATGCTTCTAGAGCAGCGATCACGGCCCTGCCTCCCAGCTGCGACTCCCAGGCTCCCAGCGCCAATTGCAGTCCCGCCTCCCAGCCTGGGAGTCCCAGCCTGTGATTGCGCAGAAGCCTGGTGGGAGTCCCAGCCACGCTCCCCACCCCCGACCCTGACCCCTGGCTTCCCCTCCCCCTTCTTCTCCTTGATTCCCCCTTCCAGCTTCCTCCTCCCAGGTTTCCCCCTCCTCTCTCCCACCCTCACTTCTCCCCTCTCCCACTTCCTTTCCCCAGTCTCACAAGAGTTTCATCCCCTCCCCCCCGTTTTGTTAAATAAAGAGAGTCTGTGTTAATGAAAATACATGTATTTTATTTGACATCAGGAAGGGGGGTTAGGAAGGGGTAAGTGGAAGGATGTGAGGGAGGAATGAGGCACAAGCCCCAAGTGGGCAGTCCAGGGCTCACTTCTCCCCTCTCCCACTTCCTTTCCCCAGTCTCACAAGAGTTTCATCCCCTCCCCCCCGTTTTGTTAAATAAAGAGAGTCTGTGTTAATGAAAATACATGTATTTTATTTGACATCAGGAAGGGGGGTTAGGAAGGGGTAAGTGGAAGGATGTGAGGGAGGAATGAGGCACAAGCCCCAAGTGGGCAGTCCAGGGATGCTCTTAGTGCTCCTCAGGATGGAAGATCTCCTGCAGGGCCTCCGGGATACTGACAGCCCCCCGATGGACCTCCCGGATGGCAGCCTGCAGAAAGTGCAGCCAGGCTCACAGCAACGTGTCCACGAGAAGCACCAGAGTGCCCAGGGGCAGCTCTGGCTCCATGTTGCAGAGTGCTATGGTGTCCCGAGTGAGGGCAACCAGAGCACGCAGAGACAAAATGTTTTGCTGTCTCTCAGCAAGGTAGGCAAGCAAGGAGGGAAACCTGAGAAGCAGGGGGGGTCCCTTTAAGCACAGGCCTCAGATAGACCCAGGCAGCAACCACACAAAGTAACTCCTGACCCGATGCCCTGCCAGACCTGGTTCCAGACAGCCTTAAATGCGATTCAGCGTCCACTCAGTGTGGACGTGCTATTTTGAAATAGGAAAAAGCTATTTCAAAATGCATTGTGTGTGTAGATGCGTTATTTCAAAATAAGCTATTTTGAAATAACGCTGTAGTGCAGAGCCAGCCCAAGCTATGGGCTGACTGGGCTACCACCGGTCAGGAAGTGCTGCGCGGGGCTGCCACACATGTGCCATGCACCCAGGGGCAGGGCCACGCTGGTATACGAATGGCTTGGGCCGGCCCTGGTGTAGTGTAGACATACCCCAAGGAATTAAATGCAACAGTAGTAGAATCTGGCCCTCTATTAACAAAGAATACTACAAAGGGCTATGCCAATAACAAAGAACTGCAGTATAAACAGGCTTTCAAAAAGGCAATGAAAGTAAAAGAAATCACTGTTGGGTACACAAATTAAATGAGTGACTGAAGGAACATTTTTAGAAAATAGCAGTAGCTGAAAGTGTATGAATAAACTGCTTCTTTGTATATCAAAGGAAGCCTCTTTACTAAAAATGAGAACCAACATCTGTTGACCACTGCTTTGGTTACTGTTTCTCATAGCTGCTAATGTGATTAATAAAATGAGTTCAATATTTAATTGATTTTGTTCTGGGAGTCTAACTTCTCTGAACGGGCTAAAACGGTCAGTTTATTTCCCTTCAGAGACTATAACAAATAACCAACAGGATCAGTGCCCTCTGAAGAGGCTGTTGTGTTAATTTCATGCATCTGCTGCTTTGCAGTGAAGACCGACTGCATAGATTTAAATAATGAAAATACCATTTTTCTAAAACAAAATCTCCACTGAAATCACAGTTCAGTTGTTTCTTTCTGTGAATCTTGTTACATGAATAATGGATTTCAAAAGCTGAAGAGAAATGAAAAGGAAAGGAAAAGGAAAAAAGAAAAGAAGAGAAAAAGAAAAGAAAGAAAACCCACAATGAGACATTAAATTAAACTCCAAGAGTAGCTGATTATAATGTGCAGCACTGTCTATTCCCCATGCCCTGAAGACAAGCTTTGTGTTTGCATTCTCACTGACAAGGCTTAAAGATAATCTGAAGCCCAGATAAGTAATTCACACCAAAGGCAATACCCTGCTTACTTTCCTAAGTGGACTAAACCCA